TGCTATGTCTGAAAATGAACAGGCATAGGCAAACAGAGCTAGCCCAGTCTTGCACTACATCATCATCAGTTACACAGGTTTTGTTTTGCAGTATCTGTATGTTAGTCCTGGCTCTGATAATTACAGTGTTTGTCACTTCAGTTTTCTTTCTTCTCAAATGGGAATTTAAAAAATCAATATCATTTTATAACTAAAAGGTAAAGACACATCCTTTTTATAAATATTTTATTTAATAAATATAAATTTCATTGGTATAACTTTTGGATTATAGTGGTTCTTCCTCCCATACCTGCCCTCCCTCTCCCACTCCTGTCCCACCTCCTATTCCCTCTTCCATCCCATTCTTTATTAAGATTCATTTTTAATTATATACAGAAGACCAACTCTATTCTAAGTAAATACATATTCTTTACAGAAAATTCAAAAAAAGAGAAAAGCACAAAAATGGCAATATTCTGTTTTTCTCAAAATCCAAATTATATGTTTATAGTTTCTTTTTCAGTTTGAAGATAGAATTGCTTTCATCAAACCTTGTATATTATATAACTATATTCCTAAAGTTGTACTTTTGAAATTTGTATTTCTTAAAAAATAAATTAAAAAAACACATATATTATAAACACCTCATTGTACTTCTTAATTATACCTCTTAATTATGACAATTTTAATGAAAATCTAATAGATGATCAAATGAATTTTCCTTTTTTAAAAAAGATTTATTTATTTATTTGAAAGTCAGAATTACACAGAGAGAGAGGAGAGGCAGAGAGTGAGAGAGGTTCTCCATCTGATGGTTCACTCCCCAATTGGCCACAATGGCTGGATCTGTGCTGATATGAAGCCAGGAGCCTTCCGGGTCTCCCACGTGGGTGCAGGGTCCCAAGCACTTGGGCCATCTTCTACTGCTTTCCCAGGCCATAGCAGAGAGCTGGATCGAAAGTGGAGCAGCCAGGTCTCAAACTGGCACCCATATGGGATGCCGGCACTTTAGGCCAGGGCATTAACATGCTGTGCCACAGCACCAGCCCTCAAATGAATATTCCAAAAGAGACTAGAATGGCACCTTTTATGAAGTATTTGCTGTATTTCCTTTTTGAAAACTAAATCATACTGCATATATCTTTATGCATTTGACTCCATATTCCAAACTGTTTCCTTAGGATCTTTTTTTGAGTGTCAGAGCACATTTGATGCATATAACATTTAAAAATTCTTCTACAAAATTGTTGATCATTTTCTTCAAAAAGGATATGTACCCATAGTATCTGAGTACTACACTGAAGAGTATCTTTTCTATTTTAAAATACTGAGTAGGAGACATTGATCTATAAATCTCCCTCACTAAATCTTCAGTATTCACATCAGTGTGTAATTACATAGTACTAGGCACTGTTCTCAGTCCTGGGCATTAGTGAGGGTCAGAACGCAATCAGTTCCTTCCCTCGTGGGGTTCAAAATCTGTGGAGGGGACAGCCATAAACAAGTGAACACAAAAGTATACACATCACTGTAAGAGTGATGGGGGTCCCTGTTGGAGACAGTTGTTCCCTTTCTTTTTTTCTTTCTTTCTTTTTTTTTTTTTTTTGACAGGCAGAGTGGACAGTGAGAGAGAGAGACAGAGAGAAAGGTCTTCCTTTGCCGTTGGTTCACCCTCCAATGGCCGCCGCGGCCGGTGCACCATGCTGATCCGATGGCAGGAGCCAGGAGCCAGGTGCTTCTCCTGGTCTCCCATGGGGTGCAGGGCCCAAGCACCTGGGCCATCCTCCACTGCACTCCCTGGCCACAGCAGAGAGCTGGCCTGGAAGAGGGGCAACCGGGACAGAATCCGGCGCCCCGACCGGGACTAGAACCCAGTGTGCTGGCGCCACTAGGCGGAGGATTAGCCTAGTGAGCCGTGGCGCCGGCCAGTTGTTCCCTGTCTAGTGGCTGATTTTTCCCTGTAGTGTGTGATTCATAGAGACAAATCTGGGGGCAAGTGTGTGCAGGGCAACCTCATTCACCCTCCTAGAAAGAGAGGTGGGAAGTGTGTGCTCCTGGTGCTGCACCCCCAGAGAAGGAATTTAAATCTTCAGGAACAACATACTCTCAGAAGCATGCAGACGGAATTTGTGTGAGGTGGGCCCATCTGTATTCTAACTCTTCTACTCACATATGGCTCTGGCAACACCTCTGCAACTATCATATGATAACACAGAGGTAGAGCATTCAGAAAGGGGAAGAAAACTTTTACCTGCAATTTTGTCAGGAATCAGTCTTACCAGACACTTGCCAGCAAGTATTTAAGGAAAAAACTAAATGAGCAGAGACGCTAAGTTTGCATTGTGTGCTGGAAAACAACAATGTTCAAACAAGGTTATCATGTTGGCAAAGGTCATGACACATTTTTGGACATCAGTAAAGCAAAAATAAGCCAAAACATATTTTTTGGGGGGGAAGTGACCTTGTTAGATTTATTGTAACTTAGGGTGAAAGTGTTTTTTTCCCTACTGTAGTATGTGAAATGCTGTTACAACTGAATGTTGCTGTCACCCCAAATCTCAGTACTTGTCCCAAATTTGTATGTTGTGGCTCTAATTCTCCAATGTGATAGTGTAAAGAGGTGGGACCTTTGGCAGGTAATTAGGTCTCTATGAGTTCATGAAGGCGATGGTCCTATGAAGGAGTTGGTGCTCCTACAAGAAGAGAAAAAAATACCCCAGCTTCCTTTTTCTGCCATGAGACAATGTAGTGACCTGCAAACCAGAATGAGAATTCTCATTAAGAACCAGATCTGCAGGACTTTGTATTTGGACTTTCCTGCCTGAGAAATGTGAGCAAATGTGAGCAATAAATGTCTGAAGTTCAAGCCACCCAGACTATGGTATTTTGATGTAGTATTCCAAATTAATACAAGTGCTTTCTCATGGGAGTAAGATCAGTTGTAGGTTTTTGCTTCTACAGGTGTGTGTTCACATGTATGTATGTGTGTATATGTGTTTGGTTTGTATTTGTGTGTACCTGGAATACATTGTTTTGGATACACTATAAACTTGTCCTGAAAATCATTCAGACTAATCATTGGCAGTGGGAAGAAACTTGGAGGAAGAGCTAGGAGAGATTTTTCCCCTTTAGTCATGCAAATGATCATTGATGAAATTTGTGTGTTAGTATCTGTGGGCTGGTGTTTAAAGTCGGGATAATTACAGGAGTAAGTACAAAATTAAGGGTACCTATAAGGGACGATGCAGCACTCAAAAGATAGCAATGGTGGGAAGTTGTTCAATCCTTAGTCCTGAAGTGGCAAGATGAAGGAATGCTGTTCCTGGAATCCAATAAAACAGTGGAAGATGGGTTGCTTACCCAGAACTGTAGTGATAAAATTGTGGCAGAGACAAGAGGGTATGGTGTGGTGTGTGTGGGAGGGGAACAGATGCCTTTTGTCTCTTTATGCTTCTCATTATCCTCCTGACTGTATTTTCCATTGGTCAAACCCACTCAGAAGCCACAGGATGAGAGAGCCTAGCTGATGCTGTCCTTAGAGACCAGTGTCCTGTGGAGTAGAGTAGGGCAGAGTGAATCTGGGATGTAATCAGAGAATAACCAGTGAAACTTTCCTTTGGCAAATCACTAAGAGGAAGCACACTCTATAAATGCTGGGAATGGAGTATCCAGAGAGTTAGGAAGAAAGCTTGGATGGAATAGTATGACTGACATCACAGGTGAGGAATTTTAAGGAAAGGGAGGAAACCAACAGTCTCAAATTCAATCAATATCAAGTTAAAATATCTATCTGATTCAGCAATTTGGAAGTCATTGGTGACATTCATTAAAATCCATTATGCTCATCATCCTAAATACATAGGACACCTATTAAGACTTAAACTGAAAAAAAACAAAAAGACTTAAACTGAGCAATGAATATACCACTCATGGTAACTTTGAAATTAACATTACATCATTGACATATTTGCAGAATTGGAAATTTGGGAGTTAATGGGTCAAAATAGGCTCAGGTAGTAAATGGATATGATGTGAACCTGATTGACTATGCTAATGAAAGAATAGGAAATAGCTCTATTGGGAAATACATAGATAGGGAGATATTAGATGATGACATAAGATTGAGGGCAGCTACTTGTTTACCATGAGAGATAAAGCTGCTGTGGGAGCATAGGCAGATGCTGGCAAATGAGGGAATAAGTTGTGGAGTTAGATCCCAGAGGAAGCAGGAAGGGCTGAGACCACTGGGAACATTGGCTGTGCATAGCAGAAGGAAGATATATTTCCGCAGAGGCATATGGGACTGTTTTGTTGATATATGGGTAGTCAGAGAATGTATTATAGGTCCATAGCTAGTGGGAATAATGAGTTGTCTCCAGGTAGCTTGTCACTTTCTCTGTGATATTGAAGCTAGGACATCACTGAGTGAGGATGCAGCAGAAGAGAAGATTTGAGGAGTCCAGGGAAACATGCAATAGTTTTGGTGGACCAGAAAAGGAAGCTGACTAAGAGGACTGTGGCAAGAGTCAACAGAATTTGGTGATTTTTAGTCATGTTTAGCCCAGGATAGAAACAGTGGACATTATAGAAGGTAACAGATTTCAGAAATTCAACTAATCAAGAGTGGTGACCATTGGAGAAACATTAATGGAAGAGAATGACCACAGGTATAGTTTTACAGGACATGAAGAAAGCTTAAAGGAAGCTTATTTGCTGGAGCTGGAGGTATCAGTGCAGTCTTGAAGAAGGGGAAAAAGAGTATACTAATAATTATTGCTAACATTTATAGATCAGTTTCCAAGGGCTGGACACATTTGATCTCAACCACCTTAAGAGTTGTTTCCTATTATTATCTTTATCATAACCACCTTAAGAGTTGTTTATTATTAGTTACAGACGAAGGTCGAAGCAAAAAGGTTCAAGAAGTTTCTCAATATCATACCATTTGTCAATCAAACCAGAGATTAGAACCTGGACAACCAGGCAAATGATCAAGGAAGCAGAGGGGTTTGTCGTCTGGGAATGCTCTATCGTGGTATAAAATTTTGCTGCTGACTTGAAGTTATGTTTGTACACCCACTATCTAATTATTCACAATAGTAGGAAGGTAGAAACCATTCAAAGTTACGTGAGTACATGAATGTTTATGCAAAGTGTGACATTCATATATTACCCAGCCAAAAAAAAAAAGCTTGTGATATTGACAAATGCTATGGACATGAATGGACCTTCAAACCAGCATGTTTTATGAAATAAACCAAACACAGAAGCACAAATATTGTATGATTCCCTTTATATGAAGTACTTAAAATGAACAAATTCATAGATATGGAGTGAAAGAGAGATCTCTTGGAGGTAGGAAGAACGGATAATTAGGAGTTACATAATCTGTACAGAATTTTTTTGTTGAGAATGATAAAAAAGTGTGCCAGTAAGGGGTGGTGACTGCACAACATTGTGAATATATTTAATGTTACTGAAGTATATACTCATGGATGGTTAAAATGATAAATATGATGCATGTTTATGTGTATTTTGTCACAATAAAAAAGATTTCAGTAGTAAACTCTTCGTGGGTAATTTGGACAGAAAAGCTATAGTAGATGTGAGTTGCTGAATTCAGACTGGAGGTAAAGATACTAAGGAGATGAAGGAAGGGTGAGGCCAGGAGTTGGATAACCTTGCAGCAGCAGCAGCAGCCTCTCTTCCTGCTGTTTGTCTACCCTCAGGGGCAGCACCTGTGCCATCAGCAGGCCTCATGCATGGAACACACGGAGGACACCAACCACACTGGACCCATCCACTTCCACTTCCGCCCCTTCTCCAAACTTCCTGAGGTACAGCTGTTGATTTTTGTGGCCTTCCTGGCTATGTACCTGGTCAGCATCAGTGGCAATGTGTCCATTTTCCTCACCATCTGGGTCAGTTGTTGTCTCCACACTCCCATGTATTTCTTCCTGGCAAACCTGGCGGCGCTGGAGACCTTCTATTCTTCCACCATTGCCCCCCTGACTCTGGCCAGCATCCTGGCTGCAGAGAGCACCCTGGTCTCCCTGCCTGGCTGTGGAGCCCAGATGTTCTTCTTCATCTTCCTGGGCAGCGCTGACTGCATTCTGCTGGCTGTCATGGCCTATGACCGGTTTGTGGCCATCTGTCACCCTTTGCATTATAGCCTCATCATGAGCTGGAGGCTGTGTGTCCGGCTGGCTCTGGGGTCTCTGTTGCTGGGGTTCTTCTTGGCCATGCAGCTGACTGTGCTCATCTTCCAGCTCCCCTTCTGCAGCAGCAAGGAAATCAGCCTGTTCTACTGTGATGTCCTCCCTGTCATGAGACTGGCCTGTGCGGACACGCGGGTCCATGAGGCCACTCTGTTTGTGGTCAGCGTCATCGTCCTCACCGTCCCCTTCTTGCTCATCACTCTGTCCTACGTCTTCATCGTGGCTGCCATCCTGAAGATCCGCTCTGCAGAGGGGAGGCGCAAGGCCTTCTCCACTTGCTCCTCCCACCTGACTGTGGTCCTTCTCCAGTATGGATGTACAAGCCTCATCTACTTGTGCCCCAGTTCCAGCTACTCTCCTGAGAGGGGCCAGGTAGTGTCTGTGGTCTACACATTCATTACCCCATTGCTGAACCCTTTGATCTACAGCATGAGGAACAGAGAGCTTAAGGATGCTTTGAAGAGAGTAATGATGAGGTTCTTGCTACTGTAACCTCCCTGAGCTCCTCTGAGTGTTCCTCTACAACACCTCTGGGTAGAATGAAATGAGTAGGCTATTGGGAAGATAAAGAGGGAAGAGCTAAACATCACTGGTTTTATATTGTTATTTTTCCTGCTTACATAATTTTCAAAAAATCATTTTTTTTTTCAGATTCAGATCTTCATTTACAGGACAGGGATTAAAATCCTTGCAGTATCTAAATTCTGGGGGTAGTTATGAGGATTAAAACATATGTTAGGTGAAAACTCTTTGCAACTTTTAATGGTAAATATAGCAGTGAATGTCATTTCATTCTTCATCATCCATTTAAAGTCTGTGACCTGTCTTAGATTTATCTCCAGATGTATTTTTAGGTTGTCAGTAGACCCAAATATTACACTTCCAAGCAGGGAAAAACAGGAGTAAGAGCAAGTTGAATTGGTGTCATCTCAGCCACTATCTCATGATCCCCATTGTATAACTGTTGAGTTTGTGCCATTTTGTATTTTTCATCTTTGATCTATTTTTTAATCTTTTATCTTAATTTCTCTTCTGGAACAAAGTGTTTTGGAAAGTTCTAGAGTTTAAAAGTTTTGATAGCTTCTATTTTTCTATCTTTACACTGCATCTAGTCTGTCTTGCGTATCAGGCTCTGACTATACCACTATGCCTCTAAAATGCTGTCCCTGTCCTTGTTCATTACCCTCCCTAAACACTCTTGCTTATTTTTTTCTCCTCATTCTGTGCTATGATCCATCTCCAGGTCTTTGGGCATACAAGGAGAAGTAACATGAGCATTTCTGAAGGAAGGAACAGAATGCACACCAAAAACAGGGAATCCTCTCCTTGGGTCCTCTCCCTCTTATGCATACCTCATAGTCTATGGTTCTGTCTTTGCCTAAGTATGCATAATATAGAACAATTGTTTTGTTCACTGAGGTTCTCTAGGTAGGAGGGGAGAATGTTGGTATAAATCTGGATTCAGCTAAAACAAAGCTACTTTTGTGAAGATAAATACCAACTAGACAGTGAGAAGAGAGAGTGTCATTAACATGGCATGAGAAGTCTGAGTAGAATAATAAACATATTCATGGTTGTCATTTGTCTCAGGGCAATGGCATAGGCTCATAGATGGTTTACCATGTTTTTGTAGGATAGAGGAAGTTAATTGAACTACTCATTGACCATGTAGTGATTTATTCATTAACAACATTCAACAATACAATAAACAAGTATTTATTGAATCTCAATATGTCTTATGAGCTCACTTGTGGTCAGTACTTCAGAAAGTATAGATGTAAGTAAGAAGCAGATCCCACCTGGAGAAAATGTCGAGTGTGATTTAAGAAATCAGATCAGAGCAGGTGTTTTGCCTACTGGTTAAGATGTTGGTTAAGGGGCCAGCACTGTGGTGCAGCAGGTTAATGCCCTGGCCTGAAGTGCCAGCATCCCATGTGGGCACTGGTTCTAGTCCTGGCTGCTCCTCTTGCGATCCAGCTCTCTGCTATGGCCTGGGAAAGCAGTAGAAGATGGCCCAAGTGCTTGGGCCCCTGCAGCCACGTGGGAGACCTGGAAGAAGTTCCTGGCTCCTGGCTTTGGATCGGCGTAGCTCTGGTCATTGTGGCTAATTGGGGAGTGAACCATCGGATGGAAGACCTCTCTCTCTCTCTCTCTCTCTCTCTCTCTCTGCCTCTCTTCTCTCTGTGCAACTCTATGATGTCGCTCCCCGTCTTCGTGGAGGAACGACACAGGACCCTGCGTTGTTCTTTCGTCTGCTCGGCCCTCCCCGGGTTTGCTGCTGGTTCTTCCGGGTTGGCTACCGTCCCTTCCACCTCCGTTGAAGGGCGGTTCCCCCTGCCACATTCCCCACTTCCGCGGGGGAGCGGCACACCACCAGCCGGCTCTCTCGGGGGCTGCACAGGTGTTCCTTCAGATAGATGTTCCCCTTAGATGTTCCTGGTGCATGTTGTCTCTCTCCTCCTTTATAGTCTTCTTCCACCAATCCCAACTCTGCTACCCACACGCCGAGTACGCTGCTCTCCTCCAATCAGGAGCAGGTCCTACAGTTTATTGGTTGAACTGGAGGCAGCTGTGTAGAAGCTGTTTTCTCCTCTCCCAGCGCCATATTGTGGGAGAGCAGATGCATAGAATAAGTCTTAATTCCAGTAACTTAGTCTAGTCCGAGTTGCTCCTCACACTCTGACTTTCGAATAAATAAATAAAAAAAGAAAAGGTGTTGGTTAATATTCCTACATCCACTGTCCGGGTACCTGGTTCAATGCTGAGCTTCAGCTCCTGAATATACTTCCTGGTGACTCAAGTACGTGTCTTCCTGCCACCTCTTTGGGATACCTGAGTTGAGTTCCTGACTCCTGGCTTTGACCTGGCCCAGTCCTTTCCTCCATGGGTGTTTGAGAAGTGAACCTACCTATGAATTTGCTCTCTCTCTTTGGCTGTGTCTCTTTGTCTCTCAAATAGAAAAAATCAAAAGGAAAGAGAATTAAACCTACATTACACCTGGAACCAACTGATACAATACTAGGAGACATCAGAGGAGGTCAAGTGAAAGGAAGCAAAACAACTGTGGTGGGGGAAGGGAGGGTGTTTGAGCTGTGCTGTGAGAGGTCCCCTGGTCTTAAAGTGTGCATGGAGAAGCAGAAGGAGCATTTTTGAGGAGGGAACTGGAATGCCACAAGAACAATGAATCTTCTCCTTGGGAATTTATTTTCTGATTTGGAAAATTTTAAAAATTGTATACTTTTTGAAATCCTATCACATTCCCTTAAGGCAAAACCTATGACCAGAATTCATATAAGAAACTACAATTTTGTCTTCTTTTGAAAGACATATACTTTGAAAGGAACATCTTTGGTTCTTTCCTAGACACTTGCTTCCTGTCATAAGTTCTACTTTACTATTCTACTAATTCATTATCTGTCAGACACCAGTCCTTTGAAAATTAGATGTTTAGGGGCTTAGCTTAGCTGTGCTGTGGCTTAGCGGGTAAAGCCACCGTCTGCGGTGCTGGCATCCCATTTGGGTGCCGGTTCATCTGTCAGATGAACTCCTTGATTTGTAGCGTGAGGAAGAGCTCAAGGATGCTGTAAAAAAAGCAGTTGAAAGATTCTTCCTTCTCGGACACATTGAATATTTCTGGATATTGCCAGTCAAACAGCTGTTCCTACTGCTTGAACTATATACAAATCTAGAAGTTAGGGGAAATGAGATACCGAAGTGTCAGAAATTGTTGCAAGATCTCTTTCTCTCCTGTTGTTCCTATGTGTCCAAGTTTTGTCTGTGAAGCCACAACTTCTCTCTTTTTCTCTAAGACCTGCCTCCTTGTGGGGCCTGCTGGAAGGGTCAACAGGTGAGGTTTAGACAGATAAGCATTTTGTTAATGGCAGCATCTGGTCTCAAATGATCTGCATCTACATTTTAAAAAAAATATTTATTTACTTGAAAGAGTTACACAGAGGGAGAAGGAGAGAAAGAGAGAGAGAGAGATGTCTTCCATCTGCTGGTTCACTCCCCATTTGGCTGCAACAGCTGGAGCTGAATGGATCTGAAGCCAGGCGCAAGGAGTTTCTTCCAGGTCTCCCAAGCAAGTGCAGGGCCCCAAGGACTTGGCCATCTTTTTCTTTTTCCAGAGATTTGTTTATTTATTTATTATTTTAAAGTCAGAGTTACACAGAGAGAGGAGAGGGAGAGAGAGAGACAGAGACAGAGACAGAGAGGTCTTCCATCTGCTTGTTCACTCCCTAGTTGGCTGCAACGGCTGGAGCTGTGCTGATCCAAAGCCAGGAGCCAAGGTCTTCTTCCGGGTCTCCCATGTGAGTGCAGAGGCCCAAGGACTTGGGCCATCTTTTACTGCTTTCCCAGGCCATACCAGAGAGCTGGATTAGACGTGGAACAGCTAGAACTAGAACCAGCGCCCTTATGGGATGATGGCACTGCAGGCGGCAGCTTTACCCACTTCGCCGCAGCGCCGGCCCCCTGCATTTACTTTTGATTCCATTGCTCCCTGGAAACAAAAATCAATTTTTTTGCTTCTCCTAAAATTTGTTTATTTTGTTGAGTTGGCTGCTAGCTAAGATGACAAGAGTGCTAAGTTCTAGAGCACAAAGACCTCAGAATTCTTCAATGCTTCTGAAAGGGAGCTACCAGAAGAAATTGTATCATTTCGTCTTCTGGAACAGTATAGATCAACATTTCTTGAAGAGCTGGCTTACTATCAAATCCTTCCTTCCCTAGATGACCTGAAAAACATTTCATGGATAAAGGGGAGGCAAATTGACAATTCCACTTTCCTCTTGAAGACTCATAAGATCTGGGAAGTTCTAGAGTGCAGCCATATTTGTAGGGCCATGGCTTTCCGAAACATATGACCATGTGAACTCTTTCATTCTTTACATCTGTAATTTAACCCAGTGGAGACAATCTTCTGGAAACACTTTTAGGGAAATAGTTTTGTAAATGATCAATAGATAGCTTCAGGGAAGTGGTACCATAAATGCTCTTTGCCTTATAGTGGGGTTATATATGAATAAAGTCTTCATACAGTAAAAATATCATTAATCAAAAATGAATTTGGTATGCATAGCTTGCAGAATATTATAGCTTATCAACTCAGTATCTGAGGAGTATAGGTTGTTTGCCTTGGTGAACACCAGGCTGACTGGGTGTTGTGGCTTGCTGTCACCACCCAGTATTGTGAGAGAGTATTGTATCGCATACTTTCCTGTGTGCGAAATGATCAGAATTCAAAATTCAAAGTATGAAACTCACATCCAGCGTCCTATTGAATGGGGAAAAGTTAGAAACATTCACATTGAGATCTGGAACCCAACAAGGATGTCCACTCTCTCCATTTCTATTCAATATAGTCCTGGAGTCCTAGCCAGAGCCATTAGACAAGGAAAAGAAATCAAAGTGATTCAAATTGGGAAGGAGGAAGTCAAACTATCCTTATTTGCAGATAATATGATCTTATATACAGGGGATCCAAAAGACTCCACCAAGAGACTATTGAAACTCATAGAAGAGTTTGGCAAAGTAGCAGGAGATAAAATCAATACAAAAAAAAATTTGTATACAGAGAAAAACCAAGGCTGAAAATGAACTTCTAAGGTCAATCCCATTCACAATAGCTACAAAAAAAAAAAAAAAATCAGATACCTAGGGATAAGCTTAACCAAGGAAGTCAAAGCTCTCTACAATGAGAATTATAAAATACTAAAGAAATAAATAAAAGAAGACACACAAAAAAAGGAAAAAACTTCCATGTTCATGGATTGAAAGAATCAATATTATTAAAATATCCATCCTTCTGAGAGCAATTTACAGATTCAATGCAATACCAATTAAAATATCAGTCATTCTTCTCAGATCTAGAAAAAATGATGCTGAAATTAATTAGGAAACACAGGAGACCTTGAATAGCTAGAGCAATCTTATACCACATAAAAAAGCTTGAGGTATCACAATACCATATTTCAAGACATACTACAGGGCAATTATAATCAAAACAGCCTGGTACTGATACAAAAACAGATGGATAGACCAATGGAATAGAATAGAAATGCCAGAAACCAATCCAAACACCTAACCAACTAATATTTGACCAAGGAGCTACAATCTATCCCTGGAGCAAGGACAGCCTCTTCAACAAGTGGTGCTGTAAAAACTGGATTTC